ATTTAAGTATAAAAAGGGCAACTATATCCACAAATAATATGTTTGTTGCCTTATATACGCTTGTTGTGTTTATTGTAACCTATGATGTTTAGTCAATGTTTTATAACCCCTTTTAGTAGATAAAAGTATTAATGTGTATGCAAACTACCCGATATTTGAGTTTGAATGAAAGCTTGCTTTATTCGCCGAACATTGGTGTGAATGAAAAATTGGTATCCGGCATCATTTTCTGGTGATAATATTGTTTATAAGAAGTTATTAAAACTTGCAGAAATACTCCCCCACGGGAAACATGTGACCCACGCCTGATCAGGGAACAGTGCGGGGCGTGGCTAAGCCTTGCAAGTAATGTCTGATTGGAACAACGATCTGGGGGACGGACTTATGCAGCGGATAAAAAACCCAATGCAAGACAGATTCAATGGTTTTTCGCCTTTTCGTCTTTGTGTTAATCGCGCTCCAACTTGCGCTCACAAGCTGCACCATCAAGCGATAGGTCATCCAGAACTCAAACACTCCGTTGAAGCTTCGTGAATGCCAGAGATCTTCGAAAGCCTAAAGTCTTGCAAACTTAGACTCTCTCTTTTCCTGAACCTTTTGTGTGTATGTGTATGTGTGTGTGTGTGTGTGTGTGTGTGTTTTAGCTTAGTTTAATGTAATCTAGAATAGCCAATAAACTGTTGTTTCATTTATAAAGAATCATTGTCTTGTGTATATGTAATTTAAAGTTAAACCTTGCCCAGATCACGTTACCTAGCTCGTAGCTTATAACTTATCAAAAGCATGTATTAACCTGTGGCCAGGGAGAATACAATTATTCAAATTGTTAAGATACACAGATGTTAACGTCTTGCTGGACGAACAGTTGATAAAGTGTAAACTATCAAATTTGAAATCCGTTCTAATCAGGTTGACTTTGAATCTTCAGATTCGATTCCTCTCAAAACCTGAGCTAAAATAATAATAATGAATTCCCTTACAAAATTTACTTAATCTTACACCATACATGAGTACCAGCTTGCATTGCTGAAAATTGTATCTAAAAAAAGGAAGATTTAAATTATTAGGCAACAGTTAATAAACAAATAAGCATTGTAAAAAGGAGACATGGTGAAACTAAATTAAAAGTACAGCTAGGCAAGAGGATAAAACCTAGCTATAACTGATTTTTGGGGACTGACCTGGCCTCTTTTGCAGCTAGTGGCCTCTGGGTAATGTTCCAGCAAAGCACAGGTTTTTGGGACATAGCGACATGAAGAAGCAACCTTTCGACCTGAGAAAGAGTAAAACTTGTATACACATTATGTGTCTTCCCCAAAAGTGTCTCAATGTTAGATACAGAAAAACGCTGTAACACCACCCAAGACTAGCAAATTCAAAGAAATGCACACTAGGTGGCTAAAGGAAGTGACTCTGTTTTCACTTGTAGCTGAAAAACCATGTGGATTACACGTAAAATTATTTTCTCAAATAATTTTGTGCTATTTTATTTATTTTTTTGCTATTTTCTGAATTAAGTTGCGGTCACATTAGCTTAATTGCAGAGAAATTTCACAATCAAAAAAGGTTAATTGTGTATTGTAAATAGCATAGAGATGTATTAAGAACTGTTCACAAAGAAGTCACTTTTAACACTAGAACCGCCAGAGGTCGCTGTATACCTAAAAGCGCCAGCGGGTAAATTTTACCCACACACATGACAACTGTATTTATATGGCTAAAGAACATATTATTTCACTGTATTATGCTACTGTCTTCACAAAGAAGTGTCTAGAGTCATGAAATGATTGTGTCTAGTCATCAACTATATTTTTATCCTGTTGTTTGCATTATATAGCGGGTAAATTTGACCCGCTGGCGCTTATAGGTATAAATGCCCCGTTTTTTTTAATCTGTTTTTTTCTAAATAATTTTTAATAACATTGGATTGTAAATTACATAATTTTAGTAAAAGTCAATGACTGGGAGACTTGAATGTTTTATTTTATATCTGTTATGTACATTTGAAAAATTAAATTTAAGCAAAGGTTTGTTAAATTAAGCAGGTTTTCAGTGGTCAATGCTGTGAATTCACTCCTGATCGCACAGATTCCTATTGGAATGGCTGTATTTTGGATGCAAAATTTTGCACAGCAACGGTAAATGTGACTACAACTTAAAGAAGTAAAAACCACTAAAAACAAAAATCCCAAGTTAGGCGCTAACATCCCTGTGACCCTACACAGAACAAGCGGTTGAAAAATGGATGGATGTATATCCAGTGTAATTATATAAGGAATTTGTTGGTAAATGTAAGGTACATGTTGGTGGATATTATATATTAATTATATATTTTACCCTGCTGCCACAGTGCAAACTGGCCCCGGTCTCCTGTCTCTCTCAGATTTTCATCTTCAGGCAAGAACTGCCCACTGTTGCTGTCTAACACTGACAGTGCTTCATCTCTAATGGTCAACCAGTTACGTTCCAACATCTGTAAAGACATATATGAACACAATGAAAGCAAAGCAGAGAGATAAGCATACAAAGAGCACTTCCTTCACTGTTAAAGTGATGAATAATTAAGGGAAGGTTCAATTACATAGGGGCAGTTGTGGCCTAATGGTTAGGGAGTCAGACTAGTAACGTGCAGGTTCGATTTTCAATACTGGCAGGAAATGTAGGTGGGGACAGAGCTCTCTTCCACACTCAAGAAGCATGCCAAACAATGTGTAATGGATCTCCACTGGAGATTTCAGGAGAAGATGCTGTTTATGTGAATTTTAAATAGTGTTTATCGATATGAATGTTTTTGGCTTAATTTAACTTGAAATAGCGATTATGTGCATTATAATTGTGAAGTTACATACAGTATAAGATTGGAACAGAACTGGGGTGGGGAGCTTTTAATGCATTAAGTGTAAAGAAGTAAAACTTTTAAAGACGTGTCTCGAGACACTGCACTTCTGATTTAAACAGTGTAGACAGCTGTTGCCGTGCAATTCAGTCTGCAGGAAGTGCTGATTAACAGTAAGACAAAACTATTTAACACATGCTATTTGATGGTTAACACAATTAACACAATGTGAAAAACACAATATTTACATTTTTTTTGAAGAATATGTGTCAAAATATCAAAAGACCCCTCACTCAAACCTCATTTAGACCCCTTTGACTTTCTTTGCAAGTAAAGTTGTAGTAATGGATTATATACAGTTGTGCACATAAGTTTACATACCCCTTGCAGAATATGCAAAATGTTCATAATTTTAACAAAATAAAAGGGATCATGAAAATTGCATGTTATTTTTATATTTAGTACTGTCTTGAATTCAATTAAAAAAATTGAATACTGATATTTAAATGATTTTAAAAATGAAAAGATACTTTAAATGTGAAATTAAAACCGCGAGTAGGTGGCAGCAATGAAAAAAAAACACACAGGAGGAGGGGATGACGAGACACACCTGGGAGCAATGAAACATCATGGGAAACACCTGGGACAAATTAAACATGGGAAAGGAAGGCACATGAGGAAAACACGGAACAGAGTCTGACATATGGTGTCTAAAACGTAAGTCTCTTAATAAAACATCTAGTTTATTGAACTGTTGTAAAAAAATCTATATTACATTTGCATATGGTAATTTTTGGAGAAAAAAAAGGCACTCTTCTGTGTGAAATTGATTAATTATATGAATTTGTGATCATTCTGAATGTATTTTAATAGACTGAATCATGCAGTGAAAGAGCGCACTGTAAATGCGCACGTGCACTAGATTTCACATAATGCGTGCACTCTATAGGTGTTTTGAATGTTGTTTTTTTTGCGTCGTGAGAATATTGAGCAAAATAGCTCACTTGTCATGGTGTTACTTAACTATATCATGTTATGAATAAACTAAACATTCAGAATTTTTACCTCAGTGTGTTTCTTCTGAGTTTATGTGTGCTGTTACGCTCATTTGTTATGAAGACTCTCACAAAGAGACAAACCGAGTGAGGCTCAGCGCGACCTTGTATTCTGTATTCTGCTAACTTACTGCAAATCTCTCTGATGACGCAGTAACTCGAAAAATCTTCGGTCTGTCCAATGATTGTAAACAGTCATTAGGTCTGTCAGACTTAAGATATTTTAGCGGTAATGTGACCAAAAATATTTAAGACCCATCGAATCCGAATTTAAGACATTTTAAGGCCTTATATTAGGAAAATGTTATTTAAGACTTTTTAAGGACCCGCGGACACCCTGATATTAAGCCTAAAATATGTTTTAATTTCACTATTTATGATGGTCTTTAAATGCAAGATATTTAAAGTGTACCTGAAGTATACTTGCAATAATTCCACTTTAGCACAATCAAATATACTTCAGTATATTTTTATTTGGACTTCAGCACAATTAAAGTGCATTAAGCATAAAATTTAAAATTGTTCCAATTTAGCAGACTTTAAGTATACCACATTAGTAGGCTATACTAAAAGTACCATTGCAGGGTATTTTTATTAAGTACATAAATATGTAAATGTATTTGTAGTATACATAGCATGAAATAAATGTATTTCAAATACATTTTAGTATATTTATTTTTCACTAGGCACATACCATCAGAATGTAAGTTATTGGTTACTACCCGCTAGCTAGCTACACCTCACTGACAATGAATTCTGGATATTTTATTTTCTTCCTCATCATCCAGCTCTTTGTCACAAAATAATATTAATATTACATCTTCAGCAGTAAAAAACTGGTTTCTTCTTATGGTTGACCTACCTGGCTTACATGTGGTGTCAGCCATTTTGACTCAAGTACTATCAACAGGCTTTAGCCACAGTACATTTCTCAGTGCCAAAGGGGCGTAAGTGCAGCCTTTTTGGCTCCAACTGATTTAGTATGTTCAGGGTTAAGTCTTTTGGTTTCTAATGAATAACTCCAAAATTATTAAGAATTCACTTGTGTCCTTTTGGCAGTAGAAAGAGCTCATCAAGAGTTTTCATTTTATATATCTCCATTTCGCCCAAAATGTCACTTACGCCCTTCTGGTTCTCACCCCTCCATAAATACATACATGTTTCCCAGAAGACAAAATAAGGACAATTTCCCCTACTCATCCAACTTAAAAAGTTTACATCCCCCGCCTCTTAATGCATCGTGTTTCCTTCTTGAGCATCAGTAAATGTTTTCACCTTTTGTAATTATTAGGTGAGTCCCTCAATTGTCCTCAGAGTAACTGCTCAGGGGACTTATGAACAACTATCATAAAACATAAAAACAGTCATGGATCATCCAGGAAATGACGGAAATGACAAAGATTTAAGTGTATGTAAACTTTTGAACGGGGTCATTTTTACAAATTCAGTTATTATTTTGTCTTGTGGAGTATATATAAACAT